TCATTCCCCTTCCCACATAGAGTTTATATTTGTTTACCTATTCTCTCTTCATGAATTTTTCATCAGCCACTTGATGAGACATTTCATGTGCGTGTACGAAGCACGGTAAGCAGTTTTTGGATAGGGGATGTGTTCTGCAGTCCCACTGCTACAGTGGCTTTTTAATACAGCAGACCGGGTCTCTTAGTAACTTATGGTCTGCTTACTTCTGCTTTGTCAAAATCTGCCACTCAGTCAGTAGCCACTCCAGTTTAAATAAATTGGACAAAACTTACTCCTTGACACTTTTCACGTTAAAATGGAACTCTATCAAATTAGCTTTATACTCCAATCAAAAGGATCAAAGGATCAAAACCAATGCAGCAGAACCAGAGATATTGCGTCTTTTATTCTACTGCATTACTCACAATGCAACTTGACTACAGACAGATCAGAGATTCAGGTGTGTTATGCTAGTAGCAGCTAATGTAGCCTCCAGCTGTTAGCCTTAAACAGAGATGAGGAGTGGTCTACAGAGGTCAGGTAAACTTCTAACCCCCAGATTGTTTTTGTTTTTTTCCATTTTCCCTTCCCGTTGACTCAAGTGACATCACTCGAGACAATTTATCAGATTTCCCACATCTCCCTCTGAAGCTACAAAATGCTTTATACAACCTTTTTTCCAAAACCTGTAAACTGACTTAAAAATTAAAATTGGAGCAGTTCCCCTTTAATTCTCATTATATCAAAATATTATCAGTTCATTTTTGTCACTGAAATGTCCCTGGCTAAACACTGCCATTTTGGAATTTTGAGCCATGCGAGTCTGAAATATCTCAACAACTCTTAGATATACTGACGTGAAATTTTGTCCAGATATTTATGGTTCCCAGAGGATGAATCCTTATGACTTTGTTTGAATCTTGACTCTTTTTAAACAGCAGAGGGTGCTACCTACTTTTGGCTTGTTTGAGCCTCGTCAGTTAAAGGGGAACTTGGGCAGATTTTTACCCGAGTCTTGATCGCTAGATGTCACTGAGTACTGTCGATAGGAAAAACAACGACCAAAACCGGTGCTAGCAAATTGGAGTTCCTGCAGCTAATGGCCAGAGCTCCCAGTTAGTTATAATACACCTCTTGGGGGCATAGCCTAAAGAGTGCCTTTTACTCCTCTTAACAGACACAAAATGCAATTAAAATGTCTGTGCAACATGATCAGGGCCCTTACGTGACAACAACATGCGTTTTCAACTCATACACTGTGCAGAAACCGTTCAAATTCAAAGTTTACAAGTACTGTCACCTACCTGTTTTTCCATCGCTCGCTTCACTGAAAGCCCAGAAGAGTTGATCACGAAGGTCATGCCATTTTCACAGTTTTTAGACTGTTTTTAGTTTATAGAAATAAAGGAATCTTTTTCAGTCTAGTTTCCATATGAGATTTTTGGGCTTTTTATGCCATAGAAAGAGGAAACTGATGCTACATGAACAGAGAAAACTGAGAAATAGGCCTGCTGTATTCCCTTTGCTTCAAAGGTATAAATCAAAGGATTTCTGGTTATAGAAGCATAACCAGAATGCACTGGGTCACAACGGACCAATAAATGCTCTGGCTGGTGGGTGACGTACTGCGAGTTGAGCTGTGCTTGATTTTGGCTTTTCCGTTTTAAAGCTGGAAAAAAGTCAATTAAAATATGTTTCTGAAAACACTTAAAGGGGAACTTGGCAACTCTTGCCATTTCTTCGCTGGTTTTCACTTTTGTCGTCGCATGTTTTCTCAACGAGCTCCCCCTACAGCTCTGGGACATATATTTGAAAAAGTCACTTGCGGCACCCTCCTCCCCCTTTCTACCGCTGCTGATGTGTATTAGTTGCCGGGCAACTTTTTCGTGTGGAGCAATGTCTACCTAGGTGGGTAATACATTATACACAGTATCATAGAACATTGCATTTATGGGGAATTGCTGTAAAGCAGTTTGTGTTTCTCGCTCGTTCTCGCTTCTCACGATACTTCCTATTTCCAACTTAACGGGACGGTAGTCCCAAAGTTGCAAGGTTGGTTTTCCGCCTTGGGACGCTAGGGGGAGCGGGGAAAGTCACCATTAACACCGGAACGGGCCATTTAACCATCCAAATGATTTCTAAACGGGTTTATAAAGTTGAAATAGTTGCCAAATTTCCCTTTAAGGGCAATGCAGTAACAGAATGTTGATTCATATTTGATCAGCACTGCCTAATTTCAGAGTTTGATCAGACTTTTATGAGCTGTAGATCCTACCCAATGGGTACTGCGCATGTGCAGTCCATTGATTCAGGAAACAAGTAATAGGCAATGAAGTCTTAATTCATATTTTATCAGCACTGCCTAGTTTGAGGGTTTGATCTTAGTTTTGTGAGACTTCTGGGTGCAGGCAACATGTTAATTTGCAAATCCTACCCACAGTGTAAAAAGTTTCTCTTAAAAATCATTTCACAAACCGTGTGACAGAAGTACTGTGTTACTTTGTGTGGGAGAGGATCTCATACCGAGCTTGTTCAGTTTCTGTTCAGTGTGAATGGGCATGTATGAAAAAAGTTGAATGTTCATTTGTTGTTTTAAGAAGTAGTTTACCCAGAACTGGCAATTCCAGCTCCAAATAATGAAACTGGACGCTGGTAATGCATGATGATTTGACATGCAGCAAAATCCAGTACATGGTCTCCTGAATGAGGTAAGGCTTGTTGTCAAGTCATTAAAATAGCTCAGTTCTTTGTGCATTGCCTCCATCATTTCAAGGACAGTAACACAGAACATTCTTAATGGAAAAACTTCTGAAAAATGTCAGATATGATGAATTTACGTGCTATTCACACAAAGAGTGAAATAAGAGGAGCCAGATATGGACGACAAAAAACACCTCACATCTGACCTTTCCTCTAAGCTAATTTGAATTGTGGTGCATGCAGGCACGGACCAATTATGTCTGAGATCAACAGGCTAGCTATTATCTGGCTGTGCCAAGAATATACCTGACAAGATCTGGGGCAAGATTTAGGTCAAGAGAAAAAAGACCTGATTCGGACTAATGTGCTCTGTAGGTCAACGAGGCCAGGTGGATGTGGTGAAGGAAGTCGATTTCTTCCCAAGGCCTCCAGTGGCCACTCAAGGAAGAGATCATACTGTGTTTGTGTGTGACTGTCTGTACATGTATGTGTGGATATGTAGGTGTGTTCCTGTATTAGTGTGTGACTCCTCTCAACAGAAGGAATTTGCACTGAAATCCAACCCCAGATGTGCCACACTAGCTGTCTGTAATGGCTGTGCAATCGGCATGAGCTGAAGTTTGTCTGGTGTCTGGGGAAAACCCCTATTGATGGAAAGTCCTCCCCTGCCTCAGAGGCAGAGAATGGAAACCAATTTGTGGGACACATGACTCGACTGTGGTGGGACCAAGCGACCTCACTAACAATAAAGTGAGGACCTTTAGACCCTGCAACCTCTAATGGGAGTGGTGTCAGCTATGATTCATTTGCAGAAAAAATGTATAGACTGAGATGCATGACCTCAATGCCAACCTTTTGACTGAAAAAGCTGTGTGTTTACAATATAGAGTTTAAAAATGTGTGTATTTACAGTGTGTGTATATGCACCTCTTTGCAGAAGGGATTTGTTTGGTTATGATGCTGGTGTCTATGGTGTGCTCCTCTAATGATATTGAACTTGATCACCTACAGATTGACTCTTTACTCAAGAAAAACAACGTTTTAACTTCCTCCATCCTCTCTGGACACAGGATGAAAAGTTAATGCTCATGATAAACATTAGTGAGCTTTCAAACGGAATGGATGCTTATCGGGTTACGGCTGTGTCCCGTTTAAAACTCACTGATCACACTATGCTATGGGATATTATTTATTATCATTATTTAAATGGGATTAAGTGGGAAGTATGGGTTGTGTTGTGGTTGTGTTAGAAGTATATGGTGAGGACTTTGTAAGAACTAAACACTATATTTTATACCACCTAACACAATAAGTATGCAGTGTATTTGTTTCCCAAATGACAAATCTAGACACGTTCAGGCCTGAGTATTTTTCATCAAAAGTTCTGATGAGAAACAAGTTTGAATTAATAAGAATTTGCTGTAGATGTTTTTTGGTCCTTCAACCATTTGAGAGGGGTTTTGTGAGAATAACATTCAAATCAAAACTTAAACTTACTGTTCAGTAAAGCTGTTGTAAAGTATGGGGTTATAGGTATACTGATGCTATCAAGAGAGATGTAAATTGATCTACAAAACAATTAAATTTTTTACCATTATTTTTTACTGTCTGTTGGCCACAGGGAAGATTTTTAATGGGATTATGAAATTTATTTTGGTCTTTTGGTGCCTCTCGATAGTTGATTTGAAAATGCTACTGTACACAATGTCCTACTGGTAGGACAATAGTTGAAGTCGATCTTAAAATTGTAATAACTGATTTTTGACCACTTGGGAGCAGCCTAAACAAGCATTCAACACAACTATTTTGGTTGTTATAGTGATCTTGTTAGTAAAAAGCCACCTGTTTACACATCAGAGCGACATATTCAATTATTTGGAGTCTTTCTGGCCACCTGGTTAATTTTTGGTCCATTTTGGTCTCCACATACTCCTAAGAAAAATATCTGGCTCTTCAGCAGCTAAATGCGGCACTATGTTCGCCAGCTATCTGTCTCTATCTGCCGCTTGGTGCTGAGCAGGTAGTGTACAGAAGGGTTTTTGCTAATAGCTGCATTCTGCTGCCTAAAATGATGCAGATGAGAGTGTGCAGAGAGAAAAATACTCACACTCTGCAGATCTAAGTGGAATTGCAGAGTTGAGTGATATTTCTCTGGAGGTTCATTATTATGGGCGACAACTTTCACATGCAAGTAGTCACATGATTAATTGTTAATAGAAAAATATTGATTATAGTAGCACAATGTAATAGTCAGAATGGTCAAACTTACAATACACAGTCAGGAGAGCAGGCTAAGGATTTAGTGACTCTTACACAGGTCAGATTTAGACCTTTAATTGCAGCGCCCCAATGTAGTTCAATTGACACCTTGTATTTCATTAGATCTGTATGTCATAAAGCGTGTGCAAAGATTCAAATTTCTCAAATAAAAAAAGTTTACACCTTTTTTATGATTCAAGTATCACAATTTATTACAAAAACTAGAACTTTTTTTATCTGTCGGTGTTGCCATGCTTTAAGCATATAACAATACAGTATAAAATCTCAACCCAAAAGTAGGATAGTAAAAGCAAAGATCATAGATGCTGACGCAGCATTTACAGAAGTTAAGACATGCTGTTACTGTACAGAGAACATTCCCATTGAAGTACAAACATCTGCAAAATGCGTCATTATCATCAATGAATTGCATTTTACGATAAACCATCTGATCCAGCCTCATTCAGAGTGTTACGAGAAACACCTTTTGAAATTGAAATTAATTCACAATAAAATAAACATAAACACTCTGCAAATCATAATGAATGTGCTGAGATCTTTTTTTCAACAGCCCAAGGCACTCAGGCTCAAATGTTGGCAATAAATATGTCATTCTTTACACAAAATCACGTCAAGCAGGTGGTGGTAGAGAAAGAATAGTGAGAGAGAATCTATGTTGTCTATTTCACAACCTCTTGAAGAACACAGTCCGTTTAAAGAAGTCCACTTTGTCCTTTTTCACAGTGAAAATCCCTGGCAGTCGAGACAGAAAAGACGTTTGAAGAAGTCAGTCAATTTTGTTGAATTGCGTGACATCAGTTCGCTAAAAACTACATGACCTCCTACTGTACCTTCGCTGGCCTGTCATTTTGGTCTCCGAGAGCTCTCTGGAGCGGCATCAGCTGCCTTTTCAAATGAACCCACAAGTAGGCCTGATGTGCATTTGAGAACCGCAAGATGCCAAAGTGTCCGTTTCCAGTGACCTGTCCCCCACATGAGAATCTGGTAAAAATCTATCAAGTGTCCACAAATGATGTTTTCGAATATCTATAACAAATCCAGATGCTATTCATTGATATAATCGCCTCCTGATCTTTCAAATCAGTTTACCAATGCCGTGACAAACAGAGTGGCTTTAACAAATGCATTGATCTTTTCTTCCCTGCAGTTCAGTTGAGCTGGCGACAAGCTTCAAATGTCCACTTTGAGGCACCTCCGTAAATGTCCAGGCTCGTCTCCATCCATGCAAAAACGTTGCCCACCTGCGCTTTGCTGCTGCAAGTCGCTAGATTGTATATCTCTCCGACAGATAGTTTCCGGTCCCAGATGTGAAAATTTGCGAGGTCTCCCACAAACGCTTGTGTGGCATCAAATCCTCCTCCGAGCGTGTCCTGTGGTGAAGACAAATGGATTTAATCAAGGGTGATATGATTTTTTCGCCTCAGGCTGGCATCATGGAAAGAACTAAATTGCCTCTATGGATTATCTGGATTTTTTTTGACTGATTAAATTGAATGAGAGACATGCATCTTCAATCCAGTGGGATTCTTGATGAGATCCAGTTAAAGATCTAATCACCTCATTAAACCTATTACGTGAATTAGAGCAAGGATAGATTTGAAAATTGAAGTCTGATTGTTTTTTAATGTTACAATGAAATGGAAAAATTACTTTTCCACCTCGTTAGCTAATGTTTGGTGTCATGACATACACTATTTGTATTTAACGAAGTGATATCTTATTTTATAATGATCTCTTCTGCATTACCTCCTGCCCCGACATGCGTGTTATAGTGAATAAAGTAATAAAGATCCTCTCCAAATGTCGCTTATTTGTGGCTGAAACAGAATTTGATACCTCCGTGGAACTGGAAAGCATTTGAAGTGTGTTGTGTGTTGTGTTTACCTGCTCTTGACCGAGGATGAGCAGGCCCTGTGGTTTGATAGGATGATATGGAGCCAGATTCTCTCCACTCCCCCTCTTGACTCCATCTTGGAAAGCTTCCCAAACACCATCACGGGTAGTCCAGGTTACGCAGATATGATGCCACTTCCCATCGTTGATAAGGAAAGGCAGCTTTGCAACCTAGAAGAAGATGGAAGATATGAAAGTTTGCTGCACTAAAGTCAAATATCTAGTTTAAAATCAATGTTTAACAACATTCCCACTGTGTTTCAGACATACCTTGTCATTTATCAGTATCTCCATTGGGTTGTTTCCCCACTCTATGAGGACCAGCTCGTTAGCTTGACCAGGAACTGCATAGGAGAAAGGTGTGCCCACCCCTGGGGAGGCGTTGGATTTGAGCCACATGCACACGGTGAGGGCGTACATCTCTGGCAAACTCTTCTTCACCTTTGCGTACATGTAGTTGGTTCTCAGCGGGAACGTGAGCTGGAATTTATCCAGAGGCCTGTTTTCTCTTTGACCTGTGTGGAAGAAATAGAAAAGAGTTGGCTTCAGACACTTTGGAGAAGGCAGTACCAGTGTGCTTCTCTCATTTTTCATGTTAAACGCAGATGGGCCTGTTTCATTCCCAACGCACACATAGTGGGGATTTACATAGGAATTATACGTTACACAACAAATCCACAATCGTGACGCTCCAGATTTGCTTTAATCTCGCATGATAAATCTATCACAGCAGTGCTGGCGTAGTTAACCTTCATCTCTTGTTTTTTTTTTCCTCCCTCCACACCTCTCTGTTTTACTGCCATTCAAGTTTTTTGGCTGTATGTTATCGGAGGTGTCCCAAACCGAGAGCGCACGGTGCTTTTAAGCACTCAAATGGCTCACTGAGCTAATGGGGGATTGGGAGGGGGGGAGGGTCGTTCACTGCGTGTTAGAAATGATTTAATCTGCATGATTTAGAGCAGGAAACTGCAGAATATACCGGGATGCTCCAGCTTTGCGCGGATGAGTAAAACATTAAATCCACTGCTGAGGTCATTAAAGCTCATAATGCCAAACTGCCTACGTATTATTCATTTTTTCCATTTCCCGCTCTCACTGTGATCTAATATCTCATTTTGATTGATCTGGATTGATAGCATCCTGGTTCCTGGATCCTTCCACCCATCCCTCCCTACACTTTCTCTCACACCAAACCCTTCATAACTCCTACACTTCTTGCGCGCACGCCTCCAATCTCTCCCCCAACTACCTTTCTCCAGGTCGGTGATCCTCTGGTGTAGAGATGTGAGGGTGGACTCAACTCTCCCACGCTGCTCCGTCTCGTTGCGGAGTCCGGGCTTCCCCTCCTCGATGCTGTTCACTCGGGACAACACCTGCTTCTCCAAGTCGTCGATTTTACTTTGGAGCAGGTCTTTGAGGCTGTTCGCCTGCACCGAGTTGTTACTTCTGCTGAATTGCTGTTAGGGGGGGGAGAAACATTTAGCTCAGTGTGAAGAATGGTTTTGAGCGGGGATCATTACAGATTGACTTTTTTCTAGGCGTATAGCTGGACATGCAAGTTATATTTATAGAGTATAGCAATTTATATCTGGCAAGGTTTGCTTTTATCTTATGTGCCCACATAGCTGAATATAATATTGGCAATCAAATACCCAAATCACTTATTACTGTTATTATTATAGGCTACAAAATAGTTGTAATTTTGTCGACGGAGCTTTGCGCAGAGCCACCCAAAGTGTTGAAAAGGTCCCCAGAAGCAGCAGCCTACCTCTAGGTTTTCTAATCTCTGCTTCAGCGACTGTAAAGTCTGTGACAGTTGCGTCAAAGTGTCAGCGGGGCCCCTCGATACATCCCCCATTGTGTTTTTGGTCCCAGCTTCTTTCCTCCTGCCCCCGGGCCGCGCGTCCCCGGGCTCCGCGCCGCTCTGGCTCTCGCACCGAGCCAACTTTGAGGTCAGTTCTCTGATGGTCTCTTTTTGGTTCATGATGGTCTCTTTCTGCTGCAAAACCGTCTCCCGCAGCTGCATGACAGTGGTCTTCAAGTCCTCCCCTGGCACGCTGTTCTGCAAGGTGGCTGCGCATATGTCCATATCCTTGGGTACGGACGTGCAGATGAACTGCGTCTGTCCGCCAAAGTCTTGAGACGAACTTTCCAAAAGCAGGCTCGAAAACAGAAAAAGTCTCCACCAGATTCCGTTCCCCGCGGCCTGCATGTCGGCGTCTGTGCTTGGGTTTGTGATTTTTAGTTTGGGTTGACGAGCCGCAGTGACTTCGCGCTTGTGTCCCCTTGTTGTTGTAATCCGTCTGTGGAAGTGCAGCCGTTTTTATACAGCGAGAGTGGTTCTGCGCAGAGCAGGTTCACTGCATCACGACCGGAGGGGAGGGAATCGCGCGCTGTTCCCGTTTAATCGGCTCCAGCAGCAGCGTCACAGTCAAGAGATGAAACCCATTTTGCTTTCAGTTCTCCCACATGTTAAATCTTTCATCACTTCGACTATTTGTCATTTCTCGCTGTGTATTATTCATCTGGAAAACGCGCATTTGTAGGCAGCGATAGAGGGGTTGCTTGCGTGGCGGGGTGCCAGGAGAGCCAGCTGTGTTTGTTTTGTTTTTGCGCACACGGGGAAACTCACACACCTACACACACACACACACACACACACACACACACACACAGAGAGAGAGAGAGAGAGAGAGAGAGAGAGAGAGAGAGAGAGAAAGTAAGTGGATGCAGATCAGAAGTTGCAGCATTGTGGTCGGCGGAGTCCCAGCAGATTCAGCACCAAGGACAGATCCGACCACATCACATTACCACAGAGCGCAGAGGAGCGGCTCGGCTGTCGATGCTGCTTAGTTTTGAACAGTTGGTGCCTTTTTCTCTGTTGTTCAGCTCAACCGCGACTACTATGCGGATAGACTTTGTTGGAACATATGCATATCTTTCTTTATTCCTCTTTGTTTTTTCCAGATCTGACATGTTTGTTTGAGGACGGGCTGTAAAATCAGTTTGAAAAGGCATAGATTATGTTTCAGGTCAAGCTCATAGTTCATAGTCCCCCACACCCCCCAAACACACACCTTATTCCCATACAGCAGACTGTACTGCATATTTGCGGAGTGACATGAAATTACCTGTGTGTGTCTTTTGCAGTGGCGATCTGCTCTCCACATCACTGCCATAATCATCTCAATAATTCAGTTTCTAAAATGATAATCTGTCCCCAAGCAATTTACCCTATCTATTATTCAGGAAGGACAATTTTATTATTTTACGTTGCCACTCGTATTTATTCAGTCAATGCTGAAAATAAAATGAAAACATTTTGAATAAGTAATGCAAACATATCTGCTCTCAGATTAAGATTGATTTCTTCTGAAAGATGAACACCGGTAGAAGTGCACAGCATGAGAGACAAAAACCTGCATGTTACAAAGGGATATAAGATAGAGGAGGTTAGATAGGTCGTGGCGTAATTACTATCTACAATAGCAGGTCTCTAAAGCTAAATGGTTTATAACTGCATGTGCATTTTTCCAGGCTAGATAGATATTAACACTGAATGACTGATGTAAATTGTTGTTAGGAGGAAGGACTTCATTTTAGTGCTGCAAAACCTACCAGGAGCATAATAAGAGCTGGTGCAATATATTGTATTACTGTACCAATTTAATCAGTGGGTGGGGATGATCAAGCAACTAAATGGTGCATTTAAGATGCTTTCAAACATTTCCTTCCTTCGTCTGATATAATGCATCATCTTAAAGTACAGAGTGTTAAACTATGCAGCTGTTTATTTGTTTTCTCTTGAGTGTCTCCTGTGGATTTGCTCCATTTTAATGATGCAACAACATCTAAGTGAAATGAGAAGGGAGAAAGGTTTAGTGACTTTACTCTCTGGCTGTAAGTTTAAGGGCTGTTTTTAATATTATGAAAAACAAAAGAGAAGCTTACAGGTGTGAGAGAAAGCAATTTCTTTCATGCCTTTTATGGTGGCATGAAATTCATAAGAAAAATTGGATTTTAAGGTTATGTAACTGTCCAGATTTGTGTATCCGTTGCTACTGCTGGCCTGCTTATCTCATGGTTTACAGGGAATAGATGGATGAAGTAAAACAGGAGAATACAGGTCCAAGGTCAACAACATGAAGCCATTCGCTTTGTCCAAGCTGAACCAACCAAACCCTTTTTGGCGAAAATCTGACAGAAGCATTCGTAGAAAACCAAACAATGAATGTGGAGAGCAGTAACAGCAGCACAGAGTCAGGGTAATGCTTTTAGCTGCATTGCTTTTGGGTAAAATATAAACAAGCCAAAAAAAACTTTATTAGATGTTATGCAACATGGAGCAGTGCACTCTGGACCTGTTAGAGCACCCCAACTTGCAGAGCAAGAAATGTGAGTAAACAACTTTTTCTCTCCTTTATATCAACCATCTGTTAAATTTGTGCTAGTTATGTAATTACACATAAGCAGACTACAGTGCTTTCCAATTCTTTGCAAAGCACAGAATATAAAGCACAGAAATGTACAATATTGTACATTTTGTTTGGATTGAGTTGATCCTACTGTTTGTACTGTACAATAAGGCAGAAAAGCCGAGACGTCTTCTACCCCGTGGGACCAAAGTAGCATTGCAAAATGTCCAAAGTCTAGCTCTCATCATGAATTCATTATTCACTGCTTCCCACACATACAAGTCCCAGAGCCATATGCTCTAAGAAGAAAAGCCATAACTCCTCTGCGCTCCTGTACCTCTTCCCATCACCTACTTCTACCTGCATTCGTCCCCTTCCTCCCCTCTCTTCCTACAGCATACAACGCCCTCCTCAAGTAGCCCCTTAAAGCACACTGTTGTTTTGTAGCCCTTCCAGGCTCTCAAATTAACATTTTCCTCTGGATGCCACAAGTTCACCCTGTAAGCATATTGAGTTATGCTGTGATTTAAAAAAAACATTGTAGCAGCTGTTGAATTTATAATGCTGTTAGCCATGGTCTGCATGAAATAATAATAGGGTTTGGGTGGAATGATTATTTGTTGTTCAAGTCATTGTGCTAGACATGACAGCACAACAATCTGTGACACTGGAGATATTAATCTCATATAAACAGCTGCCAGTAGCTCTTATCACAATCACACTATACTGCCTCGGTTCAGTCTGTGCTGCCGGGCCACCGTCCAGCTGTTGTGGCAAACAGTATCTCCTTAATAATGCATTCAAACACAGTGGAAATGCATTCTCCAGCACCAGAGATCAATAGTTGTAATTTCTCATGTTGGCGGCCTGCCTTGACTTGCTTTTTCTTCCTGACTCTTTCTCACCGTCTGCTTTAGTGTGGTGAATGCCATTAAAGGGGAAAAACATTCAGTGTTTTGTTATTGTTTTAAATGATTTTACCTTTTCAGCACCAAAAAGTTAGTGTGGATATTTTCCTGTTGAGTTTAGCACTTGATCTAGAACAATATCAGAAACTGTCCAAACTTCACTCCCTATATAATGAACAGTGCAGTGAGCAGTAAGCTGAGATTTTCAGACATCATTGTCATTTTGTGTCATCACTGACAAGTGTAGTGTCGCACAAATGTTCATTTTTCTACCCATGAAATGTAACTCATTGCATTGTGGGATTGTTGGCAGACAGTAATGTGGACACAGTAATGGAACAACATTTTTGTTCTGTTGTAGGAAGGGCACTAAGTAGAATAGATTTGGACCCTGATAGTAAATATAATGTACGGTTAATTATTCGATACTTTAAATGATAATGTCTCAGATTTGAGACTGTATTTTGTTCAGGCACAGTTCTTATATAGTGTCAAAAAACACACTGATGCATTTGACAAGTTTGGTTATTTGGTGATAATAAAGGGGTTTTGTTGTTTTAATATCCCTCAGTGTGATGTATTGAGAAAAGTATCATTTTGGTATATCCTGAAATTCAGGTTGTTTTTTTTTGGCACCATTATGGAAACAACACCAAGCCCCAACTGGCATGAGTTGTTTTTTAAAGAAAAGCATAATGATAAAAATAAATAAAGAGAAAATTGTATCATTTTAGGCACTCTGGCACTACTTCCTCTCTCTTAGACAATACCTGTATAGTTTCTGTTCTTCAGGTCAATTTCACAGGCTGCCTCTGATAGTTATTTTATATGAAGTAACATAAATACAGCAGGAAAACAAGGCACACACTGTATATTCAGGTTTAAAAGAATGCAGGGTTGTTGTATGGTTTGACAAACTTCCCAATAACAATCCCTTTGCAACAGTCGCTCTGATGTGTCCAAGTGACATTAAACAGCAAAATCCAGCAGATTCAGTCACAGTGATTAAATAATTAGCTATCTATCTACTACGTAAAAATATTTACAGTATGGCTGAGGAAGCTAAAGGTGATGTTTTCCATCTCAGTTAATCACTGTTTGGAACTGTCTCTGATACATACTGGAAGGAATTTCATAATTTACATGAACAAAAGCCTAATTAAGCTGCCTGTTTGTGGAGCAGGCCACCGCCATGCTTGCCATACCATAGGAGGAAAAACAGCTGCCATTTTGGGGTCACTGGAACGTTACTATGCAGTGGCTGGTTAGAGCGAGGAAAATGTCACGCAGTTGCCAGCACAGTGTAAAGAAAATAGCCCAGAGTGGCTAATTAAGACAAAGATATCCTTCCTCATAACTTCCCATCACTTCCTTTTTTTTTTTTGTTATTTCCCTTATGGTCTGAAGATGGAGTTTTTCATACTGTATCATTGCTGTCCTTATGTTTTATTAAAGGATGTGATTTAATTATTTTTCCTTCTGCATGAGCTGAGTCCCAATCTAAAATTGATACAATGCATCATCTGACATTGGGATCATTTTCTGTGCTGATGTGACAATGTTCTCCTTCTGCTGAAGATGATGAGGAAATATGTAACAGTGTGCACATGGAAGTGTTATTTTTTTGCTCCATTGCCCAAAGTATGTGACAATTGGATACAGAATCTCTAAATCTACTGTTGTGCATGGGCAGTGGGATTCCTTCACATATCACACATTCATCATTTAATTTTTCTGATCTAATCTGCTGTCAGAAGCACGTGAAGCACTCAGATGATGGAAAGCTTTATGATCTACTATTTGTGTGTGAATAAGCAAACTGACATATTGTAGTGCACATCACTGATTGCCTTTGCTCGCTTGTGCATGTTTGGGGTTTTTTTGGGTCTGTGTTTCATCAGTTTTTATGACTTTAATACTCTTTTTGGTTTATTTTGCCTGTGTCTTTGCTTCTCTGTAACTTGCCCTCAGTGGTTTTTTACTCTTCCACCTCAAACATAGAGCTCACTTATGGGATTTTTTAAATTGGGTTTTTCAAGTTTCAATATCATAAAAAAATGTCCAACCTATAATTAGGAGCAGATATATGCTTGCCTCTCTTCACATTACATCTTATTGGCCATTATCTATTTATTTTAATCTCATAGAAAGTAGGAAATACAGGGGATAGACAAAATAACATTAACACTGAATTTAATTAAAGG